TAGTTTAATAGCTTGTTAATAGCTGTGCTGCCACCTGGGGCAAGGTGGGTGTGACTTTAAGGTAGTATCCTGATGTGGGGGTGGGGGTGGGGGTGGGGGGGGGGAGTCTCCCAGAGTTACTGAGCCACTCTGAACCTGATTGGGGATGGCAGCTGAACGGGTGTAAACAATACAGGAGAACTGGCAACTGTAGCTCAGTGTGGGAGGAGTCAGAGATGAGGTCACACAGGAGGCTCAGGATCAGGATTCAGATTGAGGGCGGGCAGCCACTTGGGGATTTGGCCAGAAGAGCCATGAGGGAGGAATAGGGTCAGTATCCAGACATTTCTTGCCATTGGTTTAGTCCATGTCTTCCCAGCTGGTGCTGTGCACTGGCCGGTGTTATACCGTGGCCCACACAGGCTTGGGCAGGACTAGGTGCCCCTTCCAACCAATCAACTTCCCGATGGTTCCCGGCCTTGTGTAGGATCCTCCCCCTAACCAATCCATTTCCAGGATCTTCCAGGGTTCTGTGTTGCTTATCAAGTCTGATCCTTTCCCAGGCTAGACACTACCACTTATGGTCACCATCTTAGGTCCTACTGCCCAGGCCTCAAAGTGGAAGTAGCTCCCCATTCACCCTCTAGATTTCTACTTACATGGGCCCAGCAGAGGAATTCTCCTGCTGTTTTTATTCCTCCTCGGATAGTGATCCTTCCTACCAATTTGAAGAGGATTGTTCTGCAGGGCAGATGATGCCCTGGGCAGTGTATAAAGCTATAACCTCCTAGTGAAGCAGGCAAGCTCATTGTCTGATTCAGCTCCCCGGCCCCCACCCAGTTTATTATGCTTAATAATGTCTGATTCCCTTTGCTTTCTTCTTTTATTAATATCTAGCTACCTAAGCTAACACTTTAACCCAGCAATTCCACTTTTGAGACTTTATCATATAACAATAAAAGTACCAGTCTTGAAAGTGGCATGTGACTTTGGCTCCTAGCAAAACTGCAAGCATGATAAAGTGTAATATCTGAGCCAGGCTGTCCAAGAGGTCAAATCTAAGCCAGCCTGGTGTATTGAGGAAAGCAAATGATGGTTGTCCAATGTGTTATAAAGCACTACTCAAATGGGTTGACTCATCATACAATGTTTGGTAGGGGAAAGAACTAACACACTTTTCTTAACTTACCCAACATAATCTAATACAATAAGTACTCTAAATATTTGTGGAAGGAGGGGAGGAACAAATTTAAATATGTTTGGTACAGATAAGGAGATACACATTAAACTATTAAAGGCTCCTGAAGCATTGCAGAACCTCTGAATGAATAGTGGGAGGGGGGAAAAAAGAGATACTTGGTCAGGCTGGCAAAATAAAATGGGAAAAAGTGAAAAAAGTGAAGTGAAATAAAAAATAGATATCAATGGAGGAGATGAGATCAACATTGTAATTAGCCTAAATAGGATGACTTTACCTATCAACTGAAAAAAAAAAAAATCTCCCATTTTGGATGCAAAGATTAGCTAAGCATTGTGCATATAAATACAAAACAAAGTGAACACAGAACAAAAAGGATCCTATTCACAATCCATAAGTACCATTTGCATTATATCAGAATGTTAGGGGATCTCAAGGATTCAAGGTTTTAGCCTTGGTAGACAGGCTTCAGTGACTAATGTGCGTGGAAGGCTCCAGGAACTGGAATGCATGACCACGTGACTCCAGGAGGCCCACGAGAGAGTCAGCCTTTGTACCCCGGGGAGAGAGTATCTGAGGCGCTGTGTTCCAGGCTCTGTGTTCCAGGGAGGGAGACCCCATAATGCAAATAAAGAATTGTTGATCAACAAAAGAAAAAGTTTCAGGAAGATTACCCTGGGCTGAAACTCTTATCCAATTAACCTTCTCTCCAAACCCCTTACCCACCCCTTTCTTCTCCTTATAAAAAAGTCAGCTTGAAATGAGATGTTTAAGACAGTGTTTTGGGGGGCACATAACCTGCTGTCTTCCCAGATCGCAGGCCATCTGAATAAAACACCCATAAAGATTCAACCCTCGTCTCTAATAATTGGTTCTGCTAGTGACAGGCAGCACAAATGCCAACTCTTCCAGTTCCAAGAACACATCTAGTGAGACAAGTGTAAGATGTATATGAAAAAAGATGTAACATTTTAGTGAACGTGTAAGTTCCCTATTGCTTCAGTAAAAAATTACCACAAACTTAGTGGCTTAAATGAACCCAAGTTTAATACCTTTACAGTTCTGTGGCTGAAAAGTCCTAATGGACTGAAGTCAAGGTGGACTGCACCCCTCTCGGAGGCCTCTGTCCCATGAGGTCGAAGAACTGAGATGTATCCTTTGCGACTGTCAGCGGAGAGCTAGCTCTACCTCCTAGAGGCCTCTCTCCGGTCTTTGCACACAGCTTCCAACATTTCAGACTCAGCAGCCCGCATGGAATTCTCTTGCTTGGAGTCTCTCCTGTGGTTAGATTGGGCAAACTCAGTCAGGATAATCTCAAAAGGTCCTTGATTCTAATCACTCTGTAAGATTCCTTTTTAAGGTAACATATTCACAGGTTCTGGGAGTTAGGGTGTAGACATCTTTGGGGGCTATTAATCTGCCTACCACAGTGAAGGACATTAAAAAAAATGTATGTGGCCCTGGCTGCTGTGGCTCAGTGGACTGAGTGCCGGCCTGAGAACCAAAGGGTCGCTGGTTGGATTCCCAGTCAGGGCACATGCCTGGGTTGCCGGCCAGGTCCCCAGAGGGAGGGATGTGTGAGAGGCAACAACACATTGATGTTTCTCTCCCTCTCTTTCTCCCTCCCTTCCTTTCTCTCTAAAAACAAATAAAAATAAAATCTATTTAATGTGGAAAAAAGTGTTACGTTCTTGGATGAGAATATATACTATGGTAAAAATGTTGTTTTTGATGAAATTAGCCCACAAATTCTGTGCAAGATGCTTTAATGATAACTGAAATTGGATTTGAATCAGATGTGTGGATAGATGCTCAGAGAAGATTATATTGCTTGGCAAAATAGAGGAACACTGACACAATCCTTTGCAGAGTTTAACTCAGGTAGATTGCATGTATTCTAGAAACAAATACACTAGTATTCTACACAAGAGCAGAGTAATATTTCCTCTTGTGTGTACAATATATTTTTTAACAGGTGAGTACTTTTTTAACAAAAACTTATTTTAATTTTGATTTTTAGAGAAAGGGGAAGGGAGGGAGAAACATCGATTGGCCACCTCTGCACAGGCCCCGACTGAGGACCAAACCTGTGAGCTTTTGGTCTCCAGGATGACACCCAACCAATTGTGCCACACCAGCGGGGGCTATTCCATGTTCTTACTGTTGGCATCCAAGATTTCCCTCGTCACCTTATTTTAGGCATGTAGTTGACTGTTGTGTTCTACAGCGATTCCTACCATTCTTTTCTTATTCATGATTAAGAGCTCGAGATTATATTCTTATTCACACAATTTTACATTATTTTCCCTTGACACACCATTTCTACACTTTACATTTTAATTCTTTTTATTGATTTAAGTGAGAAAGAGAGAGAAACATCGTTTTGTTGTTCCACATATTACACATTCTTTGGTTGATTCTTGTATGTGCCCTGACCTGGGGCACATTATCAGGGACAATGAGCTACCAGGCCATGGTTAAACTTCACATTTTATTTATTTCATTTACTTATTCTTAGACAAGGAAGAAAGGCAGAGAGCAAAGGAGAGAAACATCGATGTGCGAGAGAAACAGATCTGTTGCTTCTCGCAAGCCCCTGAGTCGGGCTTGGCCTGCAGCAGCCCAGGCGTGTGCCCAACCAGAACCCAACTGGCAGCCTTGAGGTTCGCAGGCGGGTGCTCGATCCACTGAGCCACACCATCCAGGGCTAAACTGCACATTTCAAACTCATTTTGTCTATTCAAACGGCCTTATTAGAACTTTCAACAAAAATTCATGGTAGATAAGCACTGCCTTCTGTCCATTTGTTATAGCACTTAGAGAAATGTTCCTAAAGAAACAGCCTGTATTTCCATCAGGATACTTCCTCAGAGACGTGGATGATACTGCGGACAGTGCCAAGCAAGGGTGATCACAGGGGTGGGTGAGGATTCCGCGGTAAGTTTGGGAATGTGGGATGAAGGTGAACAAAAGAAAATTGAGTTTTTATTTCCCTCCAAAGAAAGAGGCTTCCGTAAATGCCACCCTTGACTTGCAAAGAAGCTCATGTAATGTCTCTTCTTGCAGATGTGATTAATTCATTTCAATGAAAAGTTATCTCAAGGCAATTGTCATGCATTATTAATACCAACAAGTATGGATAGGATGTATCCTATCTATACATCTTTGGAAATAAAATAGTCCCGGTTGTTTAATCCCCAACACCAAGCGCACTGTCCTTGGAATGACATCTCAGTCAATCCAACCCTCTTGTTAAAGGTCAACTGGGTGTCTTTACATTCTGTCTCCACCTTTCTAACATTTACTAGACAAAACATGGAAATACAACTTTTCTAAGCTGACAATGAATTTTCAGGGATCCTGTGAGTCCTGGAGAAGGCCGCGGTCAGGCAGCCTGGTGAGTTAGGACGTGGTTGTCCTCCCCCATCGCAAGCCTGACACAGGTCAGCAGAAGGTGGGCCAGAAGGGTCTAGGGAAGCACCGCCCAGTCTGAGCTGCCCAGAGGTGCAGGCAACGACTCAGACGGCAGCAGCCGGGTAGGGAGTCCCGCAGCCCGGCGTCGCGCTGCAGGCTGGGCCGCCCCACCCTCAGTATTACCCAAGAAAACAAAACAAGCACAGGACACCGCGTACCGAGACAGAGCACCAACGCCCTGGCGGCTAGATCGCGCATGCGCGTCCTGGGGCCCAGTGCGCGGAGCGGGGGAGGGTCGGGGGTGGGGAGAGCGAGAACAAAGGGCGGCGGTTGGGCCACAAAGAAGCCACGCCCACGCATCAACGTCTCTGCGCATGCTCCGTACGTCAGCTTCTAGTACTTTCGGCGCGTCAGCGGACTCCCTGCTCAGTTCGCGCCTGGTCGTTGTAGCTGGAGGTTGTGTCCTCTGTCTCGGGAGCAGCTGCAAAAATTTCCTCTTCGTCCTTCGCTGTGGAAGGAGGGCGTCCGTTGGGCCTTTCTCTCTGTCCTGAGCGAAGTGCTGGTGGCTTGTAAGTTTTCTGGTGGCGGGGCGGATTCCCGGGAACCTCAGCGTGCTTGGCAGAGGAAGTGGGGGGTTCTGCGTGGCAGAGAAAGTGGGGGCCTCTGCATGGCGCCGAAAGGGGGGCTGCTGGCTTGGCGGCAGGGCCGGCGTCTGGCGGCGCCAGGGCCCGGAGTTGGCGAGTCCCGGTTCCTTTCTCGAGCTCCCCTCCCCCACGGCCCGCAGACCTTGTTTCCGGGAGTTCACTTCCTTCCCCTCCCCCTCTCCAGTTCAGGAACCGCGCTTTCGAGAAGGATCCTGAAAGGCAGGGGAGCTTCCAGCTGCAGGCCCAGATGTCCAACTACGTGAGCGCTATGTGGCCGGGCTCGCTGCCCGAGGAGTCGCCGTCGGCCTCGGGCCGGTCTAGCCGGCTGTCGTCGGCGACCGGGAGCCGCTCTCCCAGGAGCTCGCGGTCCCGTTCCAGCGTCTCCAGCCGGTGGTCGTCCGGCAGTCGGAGCCGGCCCCGGCGCGGGAGCAGGTCCCGGTCTCGGTCCCGGTCCCGGAGACGCCACCAGAGGAAGTACAGGCGCTATTCGCGGTCCTACTCGCGGAGCCGCTCGCGATCCCGCAGCCGCCGTCGCCGCCACCGGGAGAGGCACTACGTCTCCTCCAGGAGGTATTACCGGTCTCCGTCTCCCTCGCCGGACCGATCCCGCAGCCGGTCCCGCTCTCGGGGACGGTCGTATTACCGAAGGGCCTACGCGGTCATGCGGGGGCGACGCTACTATGGCTTCGGTCGCTCCGTGTACCCGGAGGAGCGCAGGAGTTGGCGGGCGAGATCCAGGACGAGGTCGCGGAGCCCAACGCCGTTTCGCTTAAGTGAGAAAGGTGAGTCCGGAGCTGCCCAGTTCGCTTCTCCCTAGGCACCTTCTAGGTGCGGCGACAGTATGAGTAGGCTGGGAGCCAAGGTGGTTGTGTAATACTAGTATTTTTTTTCCTTTGGTGCTTGACATCTTAACAGTTCCGTTGGGAGGAAGGAGGAGAGGAGGACATTACTAGCAGGCTAACAGTTAAAAACCGCAGTACGGTGCGGTCTAAACGGACACCAGTTCTCACCCCTTGGGATTAAATTGTAGGTGTTAATTGGCTCAGGATAGAAATAATCTTTTATCCTGGCGGCTGGCACTTCTTAGTGGAGACCTGTAAATGTTAGTTCACCAGCCCTACGCTTCTGCTAATAAGTTAATCATTGAACAGGAAGAAGAGTACAAAAAGCATTCTTTTTTTTTTTTTTTTTTAAGAGGCCCGAGCTTAGTGACTTCAGTCAGAAAGCTTAACTTAACCTTACTTATATCATCTGAAAGGCAGGTTCTTATGTATGTGTAAGGGTGCTTCACATTCCTGTGGCTCAAAGAAGCAAGCAGTCTTACGGATGTGGAGGACTCTGCTTGCGTCCAGGGCTTAAAAAGCCCGGGCCCGGGCAGGAGACCTTGGCTGTGTGGGAGGTGAATATGCATACAGCATACAGATGACTTATTGTGGAATTGTACACTTGAAAGGGATGTAATTTTATTAACTAACATCGCCCCGGTAAATTCAACTTAAAAAGTTACATGACAAAATGTAAATTCCTTCTTGAAAAGTTAATATTGTATTACTGAAAAAATTAATTTTCAGTATTTTAAAAACAAATGACTTATGGGATAGGATTATGGAACAGAAAACATGATAGGTCAAGACCAAAACTTGAAGCCTGAAAATGGATTTAGTAATTTATCAATATTGGCTCATTAGTTGTGACAGTTGTACTGCATAAAAATATTTTTGACCAAAAATGTTCAGAATACATATTTGAAGAGAATGCAAAAACAGTATGAAATTCAGGCTTTGGTAAGGGAAATTTACGATTACGTTAGGGATGCTTATTTTTCTTAGCAAAAACAGAATCCCCCTCCCCCCAACAAGGATGTTTTTACACATGAAGATGAAATGTTAAAATATTTTAGTTTTGCTGTTCAAAATAAATACAGACTTATTTTGTGATTCTAAGTCCTCTTGGGGAAATGCTGCAAGATTAAGAAATACCTTGTGTTTCTTTTGTAGATCGAATGGAGCTGTTAGAAATAGCAAAAGCCAATGCAGCAAAAGCTTTAGGAACAACCAACTTTGAATTGCCCCCCAGCCTCCGAGTTGTTCCCGGGCTTAAGGAAACAAACCATGAAACAGCCATACCAAACAAAGGAGCAAAGTTTGAGGTAAGTATTCTAGGTTTATCCAGACAGAATCTTCAGAAAGCTACTTCCAGAAAGATCTGATTAGCATTTTTATTTGATTTACTTTGAACTGTTTTTGAGAAAGGCTAGCTAAATATTTGTTAAAGTCAAAATAGCAGGTCTGACAATACTTAGTCTCTCCCATGAAAATAGATGAACGACCTTTATTTTTAGTTGACAGAGTATTGCTGTCATGATTTTAGCTGGTATTTTGATTCTATGTAGTTAACTGAAGAATTTTTCTAACTAGTCTCTAGAGTATTTATCTGTAGTTTTCATTTGCAGCATTATGTTCCCAGAAATTCTGTACTCAACATACAGTATAGTTTATCTGCTTTATTTCTGTCTTATAGAAATCATGAATGTGGTCTCCAGACATTGCTGAAGAAAATCTGTTGGTAATTGATACATGGGCATAAGCATCAGAGGTTTAACTAATTTGAAGTTTATGTTCACATGCCGAAAGCTTAGTTTTGTTGATAGATCCATGTGCATGCTAGAATTTGGGATAGGTGCTGTTTGGATAAGATACAGAAGACCATTTTTAAACTAAAGTACACTTTGTAATTTTGGGGCATCTGTGATATAGATGTCCCTTTTGTAATATATGCGATGTATTCCAGATGTTTTGAGAGATTACAGAAGAGGCCTGCTTCACTTGCAGATAAGTTTATTATTCTCCAGAAGTAAATGTGCATTGGCAAATTACCCTGTGCTTTTTTAGTTGAAACCCAAAGCATAAAATCCATAGCTTTAAAAATGTAAGGTAGTTAGGAATTGATATGCTCAGTTTAAAACAAGAGAAACATTATCTAGATGAATCTACCATTCACACTCAGATATGGGTATGCCTGTGTTAGTGCCAGACAAGTAAGATCTTCATTGCTTCTTCAAATGATTAGGTGTCAAACTGGCTAATACATTAATTCTTTAAAACTAGGTATTTTCTTATTACTGATTTTACCCTTCAGAGTTATTCGAACTTGTATTGGGAATAAAAGACTGCTTTATGGGGACATGTGTCTTCATCAGGTCCGTTTAATACATCAATTTTGTTACGGGGGAATCAACAGTACAGTGTTGTTTAGATTGTGTACTGTATGGTTAGATCCCACTTGTTTTGTCTTTACAACGAAATTTAAATACGGTTGGGCTGTTTTGTATATTGCACTGTAAATCAAAGGTGGTTTGGTTTTTTTTTTGTTTTTTAATGTATTGCCTTTTCCTGTCTAGCTGTCAGAAAAGCTAACAGAAGATGGAACTGCAAATGCCAGTGAAAAGTCCTCTCAACAAAAAAGCAGTAGCTTTAATGTACGTATATATCTAAGCCCTGACCACTCAGGGTTGAACTTAGGACATCTATCCATTGTGTGGGTTTTTATTTTTGTTGGAAGGCTCATTGTTCTGTTTTTGTAGTGATAATTCAGGCCTACTAAACCACTTCACAGAAATCTCTCACATATTTTTGTGCTGCTTCTACAAGTGACCAGTATAATGGGCTTCTTATATCTAATCTCCACATCCTCAGTTTGAATATTTTCATATTCTTTTTCGACACCACTATTGTGATACACCCTGCATATGTCTAAATTTACCTGGCACAATTTCTTGGCCTGGCAGTTTGAGTCAGGTTACAAATGGCATTTGGTTGGTGTCTCTTTATTTTCAATCTTAAATGGAATTCTATTATAAAAAGCAGATATTTTAAGTATGTACAATATGTATGTCTGGGAAGCTGACTCAAATTTGTTCTCTTACAGAATTTTGTAGCAAAGCCAATGCTTCAGAAATCAGCTAAAGCTACTGCTGAAGAGACCTCTTCAGGATCTCCAAAAACCCAGAAAAAAAGTCCATATGAATTGTGGAAACCTGTTTAAAAAAAGAACTGATGGCTAAGGTTGCCTGAAATGCACTTTATTGCAAGTTTGTTTTGTATAGCATTATATCATTCCTGTGAACAATTTAGAGGAAATTGTTAACATTTTAGATTTCTCTTGCAGATAAGAGCACAGATGGACCAGAGGGTTACATACAGGTGGGAGTCTTTGTATATTCTTGTAAATATTTTGTGTAATATCAATTGGTTACACAGAAATTAAATTTATATGAAACAGTAATTGTATATATTAATAAAGTTTGTGTTTTTACTATTTGTCTCATTTTATTACACATGTATTATGCGATGGGTCTTTATTTAATGATGAAGAAAAGGAGGGGTATCTCTTGGTTAAAGCCTTGCTACTCCCAGATCGAAATCCGTAAATTGTGATAGCACAGGGCTTGGTTGACAGTACCTGGGAGTTTGTGAGAAATGCTGAATCTCATTGAGATGTGAATTAGAACCTGAATCTTAACTATTTCCAGTTGATGTGATAGTCAGAATTTGAGTTCCTGGTATAGTGTTATCCTGGAAGTTGAACACTGCTAGTTTTAGGGTAGGAAGCTGGTTCAAATGGAAACCACCCCTTGCTAAGGTAGAGAATCTGAGGTTATATTGATTGATTCAAGTTGAAATTTTTTTAATACTGTAGCTGGGAAGGAACTAAACACAGTTTAAAAATAAGGTTAATACAAAGATCCCGAAAGTCGATACAGACTGACTACAGACATTCATGTAGTTTTTGCACATTAATATGTATTAGTGAACACCAAAAATGATTTAAGCCATTTTTAAACAAGTGTTGCCTTACTAGATAAAATGTTTGAATTGAATGTAAGATGCCAGCCACCTTAATTTGTTGTACCTGTATGCCAGGGCACAGCAAACGAAACACCCACAGATACTAGGTGAATAGATGAGCAGGCTGAAGTTAAGTAGAAGTTGTTTTTTTTTTTAAAAGATGAGCCCTGGCTGGTGTGGCCCAGTGGATTAGCACAAGCCTGTGACCTGAAAGGTGGGTGGGTTGACTGCTAGTGGGGGTACACCTGGCTTGTGGCTGGGTTCCTGGTGGGGGTTGGGCATTGGGGGTGGAGCAGGAGACAACCCATTGATGTTCCTGGACCTCTCCAGTCTAAAAAAGACAATGGTTACTTGTGTGGCTTGGTTGGAGCATTGTCCTGTACATGCAAATGTTGGTTCATTTCCTGGGCAGAGCACATACTTAAAGTTGCAGGTTTAGTCCCTGGCCAGGTGTGTATGGGAAGCAACAAACTTTCTCACACTAAAATCAGTAAACATTTAGGCGGAAAAAGTTCTTTAGCAGGGGTGTCCAGCCTGCAGGCCATGTGCAGCCCAGGATGGCTGTGAATGCGGCCCAACACAAAATTGTAAGTTTACTTAAAAAATTTTTTTTTGTGTGATTAATGTTGCAATGCATTTGTGTGGCCCAAGACAATTCTTCCAGTGTGGCTTAGTCACCAAAAGATTGGATACCCCTGCTGGTGGGATTTAATCAACTAAAGCTGTCCATTTTACCTGCTCTTTTCAGTAAGAGCCACTATGCACACGTGATTACTTGAAATTCCTCAGTTGTACTAGCCACTGGTGTTCATCAGTGACAGGCTAGAGATGGCTAGAGGTTAGTGCAGATATTTTTGTAAGAATACAATGTTGGATAGAGCTGCTCTAAATCTGACTCAATGAAATTTATTTTTTTAAAGATTTTATGTTGGGCTGAGGGCAACTAGGGACCTGGCCCACAACCCAGGCATGTGCCTTGACTGGGAATCAACCAGCAACCTTTCCGATTTGTAGGCCTGGCTAAATCTGCTGAGCCACACCTGTCCAGCTGAAACAATAAAATTTAAATCCATAATGATTTGCATATGTACAGTCCTGGACATATAATTACTGTCATTATTTACATAGCCTTGGTAACATTTTCATCCCTTAAGCCCAGCAGCACAGGATTCGAACAAGAAATTTTTCAGAAATTTTTCGGTTGGGGGCATGCAAGAGGCAACCCATTGATGCTCCCCTACCTCTCAAAATGTGCAAGATTTGATTGGTTTAGATTTGTAACAAAACGTGGCTAATCTGAGCACCCTGTTAGTATTGGTTTGGCCAGAAAGTACATTTAGTTTTTCCTGTAAAATATTTTTCATTTTCACCAGTAACTTTGATTTTGTATATTTTGAGTGTGTCAGCTATCTCCATGAGGTATAATGGTGATTGTTCTGTGTCTTCATCTGATCCCTATCAACTTCTAACTGACTTAACCAGACCGTAGAGCTTCATCCAAGGTCAGAAATCTCCAGCATGAAACTTCGTAAAACTCTTTTGACACGTTCAGTCAGTCACACCACCTTCTGCATACACTGCACAAATCTTTGTTGCGTTTTTACCTTTTCTTGAAATAGAGCATATGTTGAAAATGTTGCTTATTTTCTTCTTGGACATTAAAATGGCTACACAAAAATTCACCAACTTGGATGTTTTTTCTTACTGCACACTGATAGGACAGTTGTCACAATACAATCTAGCAAAATTATTTTGAAGGTAAAGGCAACTAAATGCTACTAGATCCATCTTATGTAACAAACCAAACGAGTTGGCGAACCCAATATTTACCCATGCCATCATCTTCAGAGTACTGTAGTTCTCAAATGATACTGATAACCCGTTTGTGTGTATGTGTTTGGTTGATGTTGCAGTGGCTGTTGGGAGTGTAATTCTCTAGAGAAATCCTATTTTTTAAAAAACCAGGTCATTATGAACTATGAAACCTACCCCTATTTTTTTTTTAAATTTTTTTAAAGATTTTATTTATTTTTAGAGAGGGAAGGGGGGGGGAGAGAGAGACATCAATGTGCGGTTGCTGGGGGTTATGGTCTGCAACCCAGGAATGTACCCTGGCTGGGAATCGAACCTGGGACACTTTGGTTCCCAGCCCGTGCTCAATCCACTGAGCTACTCCAGCCAGGGCTTATTTTTTTTTTTTTTAAGATTTATTTTTATAGGGAGAGAAACCTCAATGTGTGGTTGCCTCTTGTGTGCCCACTGCTGGCCATCTGGCTGTAAACCCAGGCATGTGCCCTGACTGGGATTCAAACCAGCAACTTTGGGTTCACAGGCCAGTACTCAATCCACTGAGCCACACCAGCCAGGGGACCCTACCCCTATTCATCTTTTCCTCCTTTCTTTTTCCTTAGTACAAAGGCTTTTTTTAAAAAATAAAGGAATGGAGTCTTTGAATGATTCACCATTTTGGAATGACCGCTTTCCACATTAGTCACTAAAGCCTATCAATGAAGGTTAATTAAACTAACACCTGAGTTCTATCATTCCCCCTGTTAGTTTTTAATTATCTTATTTCTGTAGGTTTACAAACAAATACCTTAAGATACAAAAGCTACACAATTTTGGAAGCATGGCAGGCTTCTGCCTCAGTACAAAGATATTAAGAGCACATTGGGTTGTGGGCCTGTTGGGGGCGCTAAGGAGGAAACCTGATGTTTCTTTACCTACCTCTTCCTCCCTCCCTTCCCTGCCTCTAAGAGTAAATAAATAAAACCTTAGAAGAGAAAAAAAAAAGGAAAAATGCTGAAGGACAAAACTACAGCAGTTCATTTTTCTTCTGCTGAGACTGGGCAGCACAAATGGGTATATGTCACAAATTATTTTTTAAAAAAGTCAAAATACCACAGCTATTTCCATTCCTCAGAGCCAATTCTTGTAATTAGTATGATGTACATCCTGGATTGTTTTCTGTGTCTATACAAACCTTTTTATATGTATATATTATGAACATCTTTTTTTTTAAGATTTTATTTAATAGTAAATAAATAGAGAGGGGAAGGGAGAGGAAGAGAGGGAGAGAAACATCAGTGTGTGGCTGCCTCTCACACCCCCTGCACTGGGGACCTGGCCCACAAGCCAGGCAAGTGCTCTGACTGGGAAGCCCATACTCAATCCACTGAGCGACACCAGCCAGGGCTATTAAAAACATATCTTTCATGTCAGCACAGTGACATGTTCGTAAGTCCTCACTTAACATCATTGATAGTTTCTGTGACTGAGCAAAACAACATACAAAGAAAGCATTTTACTATAGGCTAATGGGCATAGTTAAGTTCCTATGGCATCTCATAAATGTTATAAAAAACGGCATTATAAAATCATCTTCATCTATATTTCTCATTTTTGAATTCTATGGAAACATGCAGAAATCAAAACTGCTTTCTGTTTTGGTCTTAATAGTCAAGAGTGAAAGGCAGTATCTTTAGAAAAGCATCTACGAAAAAATATGTTCAATGAGCTTTCGTTTAGTTTTCTAAGTGCTGTACCTCAAACTGTTTTTCTTCGTGTTACAGTTTAAATTTTATACCTAGATAGCTTTTTATTTGGGGGCTTTTCCATTTTTACATTTAATTAGTGGTTATTAGTGCAGAAAAAAATTTTTTCACTTATTCCTTTTGTATCCAGCACCTTACTCTATTAACTCAAAGTACTGTTACTCATTCTGGAACAGTTTCTCTGTTGGACTCAGAAGAGGAAACAAGATGTACGTTTCCGCGCTGCCCCAGTTTACAACGTTGATGCGGAAAATGGAAAATGAACAAAGAAATTATCTTATGCTATTGAGGAAATTAAATGGCGCCGTATGATAGTTAAGGGCCTACGTGAGACATGGTAGTCAAGGGTGAACTGCCTCGGAGAAGGTGACACTTAGAATAAGCACTTTCTGCTCACGGGAGCAGCACGTATTTAAAGCAACTTTGTACCAGACTCAGAGTCGGCCATTTCTTCTTCGTCATCCCCTTCCCAGCACCTCCCAGCGCTCTCCCCGCCTCACCGGGTCTTCTGCGGTCTTCTGCGGCTGCGCAAGCTCCTGCCCAATCGAAAGCAGCTCACTGTTAGAAAGAGCAGGGATTGGTCCTAAGCTTCTGATGTTACCAGGAAAGGGCGGGACTTACTGTAGGTTATTAATATCTGTCGGAAGGCGAAGGGAAGTGCCGGGTTGTTGCCGGAAGCTGGGAGAGGGAGTCTGTGATGGCGGCTGTGGCTCTTACCGAGAAGGTAAGTTTTGCTGGCTATATCTAAGAGTTTTTGTGGGGGAAGTTACCAGGGGGCGGCAGGGGAGGAGGAGATCCTGGGTGCCGGACCAGGGAGTAGTAGACACTGTGGGGTCGAGGTCGGCAGTGAGGGCCCAGCGCGGCCTCTCGGGACCGGCGGGGAATTGGTCTGGGCAGCCCCGGGAGAAGCCGTACTGGCCCTGCCAATAGTCTGTCCTCCTTGTCGCAGATGAGGGTGGACAGCGCGGCGGAGGAACAACCCCTCGCGGCGGCGGAGGAGCTGGCCGCCCAGAAGCGCGAGCAGAGACTGCGCAAATTCCGGGAGTTGCATCTGAAGCGGGTGAGTAGCGCCAGCTGAGATCTCATTGGTCTGGCCTCTTGCGTGAATGTGGGTGGACGAGGAAGTCGCATCAGCGTGCTTAACAGACCCGCAGGGCTGGGTGAAGGATAACCTCCCCATGTTCACCCTGGCAACACATTGTGATCACTTTTGAAAGTACAGTCGACCCTGGAACAACGCCTGGGTTAGGGGCGCAGACCCCCGCGCAGGCGAAAATCCACATATAACTTGGACTCTGCTGTCGGCCCTTCGACAATATTTAGGTTGAATCAACCACGCAGGATGAAAACACGCGGGTTTTCGACTGTGCTGGGGCAGCACCCATAACCCTCATGTTGCTCAGGATCCCCTGTATTTTCGGTCCACGGTTGGGAATGTGAAAATAAACCTGCGGACTGGAAGGGCAGAATGTATGTAGGTACTGAAGAATACCAGGTTTAAGTGGACCCTTGCAGTTTAAACCTGCGTTGTCCAAGGGTCAACTGCACACACACTTGCTCCAACCCATCTCACCTACATCTGTTTTAACTAATCCGGGCTAAGTTTGGGAGTCTCTGTTGCTAACAGCCTCCCTGCTGTATTCTAATAAGCTCTTCATTTTACCTAGGGAAAATGCTTGAGACTGGATGAAACTTGTCCAACGTTAGTAAGAGAGCTGGTTGCCTCTTCATTCAATAACAATCAGCAAATCTCTGAAAGTCTATAGTGTCACTAGTTTAGCTAGTTAGTGGGGAACCAGCTGAGGAAGACAAGGCCTCTTCTCTTAAGAGGAGAGAACTTTATAGCTAGAAATTATGTCGTAGTAAGTGCCACGCTGGAGTTAGGAACAGGGTGCCCTGGAAGTACAGGTGAGAGGTTAATCCAGTGTGAGGGGTTCCAGAGAGTGCCTTGTACAAGACACCTAAACTACTGTTTAGAAGATGAGGGAAGGTGTTATCGGACAAAGAGGTTGGAGGAATAAATATCCAAGGAGAGGGACCAAATGGAAAGGAAGAGAATTCATGGTAGGGAAAAGAGTCCAGCAGAAACCAGCTGCAGCTGGAGCTGAGAAGGCGTGGGGGGGAGATGGGGAAAAGCAGCTCTTGATTCTTTCAACTTGAAGTGACCTGACAGACAGCCTGGCTGTGGCTCCACCAAACCTCAGCGTTTGTCTGTCTGTTGGAGTCAGACAAAAATAAGACTATTCAAACTACAGAAACGACCACACCCTGCTCTTCTACTAACATCATTTCATAGACCATTATTACCAAATAAACCATTAATCCTGCCTCGTCTGTCAAAACTTAAGATACTCCCATCATAAAATGCCCTGTTTTCTGACAGTGCCAATGCAGAGCACAGCCTTGCTTCCATGAATTTTCCCCCCAGTCACCCGATACAGACCCAAACCCTACAACTAGCCCCTCCTAAAACCCTCTCACTGAAATGCCTGCAGTTCCCTAGTTTGCTGTCTCCTTCAGTGCAGCAGACACAGCTTTGACTTCAGGTGCATTCTTGGGGTTTTCACCTGGGGGGCATTGCCAGAGGTAAGAGTGACTGAGGGATGCTAGTTGAGAGGAGTATTCTGCTCCCAAACCTTAGTCTCATCCAGAATTAAACACTTAAATATTTACCTGGATGGTCTGTGGAAAGAACACCTGGTGGGAAATTAGGTGACCTGGCTTCCTGCACTGGCTGCCGCCAGCCTGTGACCTAAGAGACACCTAACTGCATTTGTCTTTGAGATGATGTGCTGATTTTGTTTTAAAACAGACTCTTCACGGAGTAATCCAAATGGAAAATTTCATTTGCCATGATATAAACTGTTAAAATATTTTAAAAGGACAGGGGATTTGGAGACATTAGAGATACTAAGATAGATATTAAAGCCCCAGTTCCAAATTGAAGCTTTTCCTCGAATTAATCAGAATTAAAAGAGAATTGAAAGTAGAACATCTTTCTCACCATGGGATTTAATATTATTTCATGCCATCCAAAGTGTAGTGCCACTGTAGTAGTCCTTCCCCACTTCGTGATACCTTGTCCCATCTAACCCTGAGCGGCCTGCTCACAGGGGCCACACAGCTGTATAGAGGCAAGGCTGACGGTAACCCCCAGGCCCCTGGAGCAGCAAACCAGCGCAGTCCAGCTCATTTCTCTTGACTTTATACAAATGCAGACCTAGTTAGACGGTTCCCTTGCTTGAAATCCTTTGATGGCTCTCTCTTGCTTTTAGGATAAAATGAGGTCCCCTTGTCAGTGTGCCTTACCTGACCCTCAAAGAAGGTAAGATCTGTTTGGATTGACTTTCATGTTTCAGCTACAAACTTTGTGTTGTGGTTTTAGAATGAAGCCCGTAAATTAAATCATCAGGAAGTTGTGGAAGAAGATAAAAGACTTAAGTTACCTGCAAATTGGGAAGCCAGAAAAGCTCGTTTGGAGTGGGAACTACAGGAAGAAGAAAAGAAAAAGGTTAGGAATGCCTCTGCTGTCTTCCTAAGTGGGTTACTCGGTTTCTGTTGTACTGACCCAGTAGAGCGTGGTGGTTTTGTACGCTGGCTCTGGAGCCAGACTGCCAGAGTTCAGATCTTGGCTCTGCCTGTTCTAGCTGCAACACTTTGGGCGAGTTATTTAACCTGCTTGGCCTCTGTTTTTTCATCAATAAAATTTACACTATAATAATAATTGAGTCAATTATGCATTACAATGAGTTAATGCATGTAAAACATTTAAAACAGGTTCTGACACCTGATAAATGTTGAATAAATACTATTTTTTAAGATTTTACTTATTTGGAGAGAAGGGAAGGGAAGGAGAGAGGGAGAGAAACATCAATGTGTGGTTTCCTCTTGCACACCTCATACTGAGGACCTGGCCGGCAACCCAGGTGTGTGCCCTGACTGGGTATTGAACCTGCAGCCCTTTGGTTTGCAGTCTGGTGCTCAGTCCATTGAGCCACACCAGCCAGGGCGTGATTGTTCACTTGGTGTGCTTATTTCTTAAGTACCATAGCAGATTCTTGAAATTTCTTTGAATATTAATCATTATTTTGAAAGTATTGCTAGATACCTTTATTTAATCATTCTTGATTTAAAATAGATCAAATAATTGCTTGCATCATAATTGCAAGTTCCACCTTCTCTTTCTTTTTAGGAATGTGCGGCAAGAGGGGAAGACTACGAGAAAGTGAAGCTACTGGCGATCAGTGCAGAAGATGCAGAAAGGTGGGAGAGGAAAAAGAAGAGAAAAAACCCCGACCTGGGATTTTCAGGTAAAATTAGCTTTTACTTTATTTGAACGGGCCTGTTAGATAAGCATCGCCTTCAGTGTTTCTGATTTTTGAAAGGATAGGCGCCTTCAGGGATCTTCTCTGAGAGACAGAGACCCGAGAAGAACACAAGCCTGTCTCCCAGGGTAGCAGTAAAGGCTGCACTTCTATCACCTGGGTTCTTTTACTCTTCATGGTGGAGTTAAGGTTTGTATTATTGGCATCTTCAGGATGATACTGTGCACAGATTGGTGCCTTGTACGTATATTGCTACTAATAATTTTGATTTTTTTAACCTGTGTAGTAATGACCAGACAGGGAAGTATATTGTCTCTGATTCTCATGTTATTTTTAGATTATGCTGCTGCCCAGTTACGCCAGTACCATCGGTTGACCAAACAGATCAAACCCGACATGGAAGCATACGAGAGGCAGAGAGAAAAGCAGTAAGTTGATGGGATTAATGCAGGGTTTGGTTTTTTTTTTCATTCTGTGGTAATATAGATACATTTGTGTGTGTGTATGTATAGATATGTTTACACACACAAACATAGACGCATACATAATGCTTAGGTAGTGCTCAGGTGTGGGCTGTCGAATAGCTGTCCAAGAATGGTTTCTGGTCCTAAAACACTGTTGCTCACTCCACAGCAGTTAAGGTTACCTCCTGGCTCTCTTTCTAGCAGGGCTTTCTAAGACTGGGTGTTGAGCGGTTAACACCCAGATTATCATAGTCACTCAGGTGTTATTTTAGGAAGCAGAATGCTTTAACCAGCATGTCTGAACTTTCTCACAAAGGACCAGATGGTAAGCATTTTAGGCTTTGTTGACTATATGGCCTCTGTCACAATGACTCAGGTCCACTGTGATGTGACAGCAACGTGGAGGATATAGAAACAGATGTGTGTGACTGTCCCAGCGAAGCTCTCAAAACAGGTGGTGTAGCTGGCTGACCCTGTTGCAGTGAAAAGAGAAATAACCTGAACTTGGAAGCAAGTCCTTTGACCTCTGGCCCTTGGCTCTTCACCTGTAGGATGAAGGTGTCAGAGTCAGTGATTTATTCAGTCCCTTCCAATTCTGTATTATTTTTTTAAGTTAAGGTAGGATCCCACAGCAAATATGTGTATATATTTTCTCTCTCATTGTGAATGGCTGTTTATTTGAAACTTGGAGCTATGGAGCGCTTGTAGTGTTACTGTAAGTCTGTTACTGTCTTTTCAGTGGAGAAGAGTTTTTCCCAACATCCAACAGTCTTCTTCATGGGACACATGTGCCTTCCTCACAGGAAGTTGATAGGATGGTCACGGATCTGGAAAAACAGTAAGTACTCAGTACAGCCGTGTGAAACTATAAATGCTTAATGGTGAAACAGAAAAAATGAGCTTAGAATGAATTAAGTAGACAGATATGATACTTGTTAATTTCTGGCTTAGCCTCTTTTATTCATTTATTTGAATTTTTATAACAGTTTATTTGAGCCGAACTGAGGACCTATGCCAGGGAGCCAGATCTCAAATGCTCTGGGAAAATTCTTCTTTAAGAAATTCTATGTAACAGTCATTGCTATTGGATTTGAAGAAGTAAGAATGTTTTAGTAAATGTACCTCCATTACATTTTCTTTTCTTTTTTAAAATTTTTATTTATTGATTTTAGAGAGAAGGAAGTGGTGAGAGAAAGAAACATTGATTTGTTGTTCCACTTATTTATGCATCATTGGCTGTTTCTTGTATGTGCCCTGACTGAGATCGAACCTGCAACCTTGGCGTACCAGGACGATGCTCTAACCCACTGAACTACCCAGCAGGGCCACAGTTGTGTTTCTTATACTAATAGGGATGAATATTAGGCAGAGCAGAATGAATTTGTATTTTAGGAGCTAATGCACATGGAGTGTTAAGAATAGTGTCTATCACATACTGTGCATTCCATATTAGCTGTGGTTATTACTAACATAATTATTGTAATCATTTTATTTTAAGTGCAACTTCATGGGTCCAGTTTCTGACAATGCTGTCATGCTCTTTCAGAAGCATTCTGAAGATGAGTTAGTACTGGATTTCATGGTACTTAGGGTTGTGCTGGTAATTAGTAGTTTCAACTTGATCTTGATGAAAACTGCTTCCCCCTCCTCTAAAATATACTATTCTTTTATCTTTAAATATATTTTATTAATTATGCTCTTAACATCCCCATTTTTCCCCTGTACCCCCTGCCCAGTACCCCCATTCCCTCCAGCAATTTTCCCCCTGCCTCCCCTTAGTTCATGTCCGTGGGTTGTGCATATAAATTCTTTGGCTGTTCCATTTTCTATATTGTTCGTAACACCCCCTGTCTATTTTGTACCTACCAATTTGTACTTAATCCCTGCACCTTTTCCCCCATTCTCCCCCTTCCCTCCCTGCTGATAACCCTCCAGATGATCTTCATATCTGTGATTCTGTTCTTATAATTCTGCTTGTTTAGTTTGTTTTTTAGATTCACTTCTTGATAGTTGTACATCTGTTGTCATTTTAACATTCATAGTTTTGATCTTCTTTTATATAGTTCCCTTTAACATTTCATATAATAAGGGCTTAGTGTTGATGAATTCCTTTAGTTTTATCTTGTCTGGGAAGCATTTTATCTGCCCTTCCATCCGAAATGATAGTTTGCTGGGTAGAGTAATCTAGGTTGTAGGTCCCTGCTTTTCATCACTTTGAATACTACTTGCCAGCCCCTTCTTGCCTGCAAAGTATCTTTTGAGAAATCAGCTGACAGTCTTATGGGAACTCCTTTGTAGGTAACTCACTGCTTTTCTCTTTTAAGATTCTCTATCTTTAACCTTTGGCATTTTAATTATGATGTGTTTTGGTGAGGTCCTCTTTGGGTCCAAGTTGTTTGGGATTTTCTATGCTTCCTGGACTTGTATGTCTATTTTCTTCACCAAGTTAGGGAAGTTTTCTTTCATTATTTTCTCAAATAAGTCTTCAATATCTTACTCTTACTTTTCTCCCTCTGGCACCCCTCTGATTTGGATGTTGGTGTGTTTGGAGATGTCCCAGAGGCTCCTTATTCTGTTCTCATGGTTTTGAATTTTTGTTTCTTTTTGCTGTTCTGATCGAATATTTTTTCCTTCTTATGTTCCAAATCGTTGATTTGAATCTCAGCTTCATCCTCTCCACTTGTTGGTTCCCTGTAGATTTTTCTTTATTTCACTTAATGCAACCTTCATTTCTGCCTGGGTCTTTTTTATGGTGCTGAGTACCCAGTGAGTTCCTGGAGCATCCTGATAACCAGTGTTTTGAACTGTGCATCTGATAGGTTGCTTATCCCCATTTCATTTAGTTCTTTCTCTGGAGTTTTGTTCTGTTCTTTATGTCTGTGTCTCCTCAGTTTGGCAGCCTTCCTGTGTTTGTTTCTGTGTGTTAGGTGGAGCTGCTGCGAGTCAGTGTCTCAGTAGCGTGGTCTGTTGTGGAAAGGCACCTGTGAATGGTGTGGGGTAGATCCTTAGGTTTCCCTGCTGCGGCTCTGTGTGGGGAGGGCTCACAGAGGGGGCAGTGCCGCCGCCTGGCCTCTGGAGATTGCCCGAGAGGGAGCCGTCTCCCAGGCACTCGCCCCCTTGCCTGTCACTGCACTTTTTCTCCTTCTCCCTGTGTGCTACTTGGGCCCTTCCAGCTGTTGCCCTGGTGCTGATTCCCAGAGTGGTTGGGTCTGCTTGAGTCCTGAGTTTATTGAGGGCCTTTTAAGAAGAGTCTCTTGAGAATCCCACAGTTTCTTCTTCTGCCCCAACCCCCAGTGGATTTTTGTAGCCAGAAGTTACGGGGATTTATCTTTTTGGTGCTGGAACCCTGGGCTGGGTGGTCTGGTTTGGGGCTGCAATTGCTTGTGCCCAAAGGTATCTTCCCTGATTTTTATCTGCCACACGAGAATGTGGGACCGTCGGTTCCCCCACCTCTCCACGCTTCTCTGTGCCTCCACCCCTCCCACCCGTCTGGGTGAATGTGGCTTTAAATGCTCGGTTGTCATATTTCCGTATAGCTCAGTTTTCTGACAGATCTGGGTGATACTTGTTTTGTAGTGTAGTTGTAATTTTTTTTCTGTGGGTGTGTGTGGAGGCGAAATGTGTTTACCTATGTCTTCGTCTTGGCCGGAAGTCTGTTCTACTCTTAAGCGTACTGGTTCTATTCTTAACTATTTGTCCATGTTCTATTAAGACCCTCAAAGAAGGCATATTCTAGATTTCATGAGTTATTTTCTTTTTCCCTCAGAATTGAAAAACGAGACAAATATAGCCGGAGACGACCTTATAACGACGATGCAGATATCGACTACATTAATGAAAGGAATGCCAAATTCAACAAGAAGGCAGAAAGATTCTATGGGAAATATACAGCTGAGATTAAACAGAATTTGGAAAGAGGAACAGCCGTCTAATCTCCTCCAGGAACTGTTTTTAGAAGCTTGAGAATGGAGTGAAAATTTCTGCTAGCAAATTGCAGTTCTATTCAAAGTTACACCAGTAAACCAGAACTCATTTTATGTCTTCCCACTCAGAATTTTAAATAAATGTTTTTTCTTAAGCATATATTTCCATGTATATTTCCAAATTTTTGTGCTTGGATATAAGCTGTATTTCTTGTAGTGTGCTTGTTTTGTAATCATCTACTTTGTATAAAATCTAATTATATTATTTTTCTATGTATTTTAAATGTGTGATTATTTAATCTTTGAAACATTTTGGGCTTAAGATTGCTGGTAGGAAACATTAACTGAGTCTTGTTGCTTTGAATAATGTTAGGAATTTGATGATCTCGAGCCGGTCTCAGGAATTGTTTGGGGCTGTGGATTAGGAAGCTGAGGACAGTGACGAGGAGGGTGGCAGTGGCTACTGGAGGGCCGGTGCGGGCTGGGCCCAGGCTGCTCGTGACCCAGTTTGGGAAGGAACAGAACTCTCCTGCCATGAAAATTGACCATGGACCGTTCCCCTTTTACAGAGCAAATAATCCTGTGGAATAAAACTCCTACTAAGCTTTCTGCTTATTTTTTTAAAACAATTTGTATATATACACACAAATATACATGCTTCCATTTCATAAACTTTTTTTTACTATGGGAAATTCCAAACATACTCAAAAGAAAACAGGATGATATAATGAACCCCATATACCTAATACCCAGTTTCAGTAATCATCTCATGGCCAATATCATTTCATCTTTATCTACTTTCCCCTCCACATCTCCCATGTTATTTTGAAGCAATTACTAGATGTGTAATTTTATAAATTCCAGTATTTATCTGAAATATATACATGCTTTAAAAAAACCCCCACAATACTATTTTAATGAAAGTCCAGAGAGATTGGTATAATTTATCCTACTTGTTGACTAAAATGCCAAATACGCAAGGATATGCCAAATTAAGAGAAATCTGAAACTCAGAAAATTTCGCATATTTTTCAGCTTTAGTGTTTAAAGGCAATTTAACAGTACTGGGGACTATTTCCTTTTTAGGTCTACAAAGTACTTGCTATTCTCAGTTTCCTGCATTTTTGTGTACATTTAGTCAGGTCTGATCATAGAGCCCTGCTACTGCCTCTGAAAATACATTGAATATGTTTCCATTTCCAATACCTTAAAGTCTTTGATCCTGAATACTGCAATAGCTCTGAAAAATTAACTTCAAAAGATTATCAAGTAGAATCTGGCAGTGCATATAAAAGAATTTACAATGAGCAAGCAGAATTTCTTTTTTTTTAACAGGTTTTTTGAGAGAGAAAGAACATCTATTTATTGTTCTACCTATGCATTCATTGGTTGATTCTTGTGTGTGCCCCGACTGGGGATCAAACCCACAAACTTGATGTATCAGGACGATGCTCTTACCAACTGAGCTACCTGGCCAGGGCTCAACAGGGTTTATTCTAAAAATGAAAGAGCAGCTACCTGCAGACCTGCTACTTCCCTGTCCAATGTCAGTTCTTTCTTTGCTACCAATCAGACCCTGAGTTTTTCTGTGAATTTGTGGTAAAATTTCTGGCTAAAGACTTGCTTCCCAAAACCGACGTGCTATTACAGGTGGTCAGATGTGATAGTTCTGGCTAATAAGACACAATCTAATTATTCTGAGAAATCTTTCACTTTCCTGATAGGCTAGTTGCCAGTCCCTGCTTCTACCTTCTTTCTTTCTGTTTAGATCACACACGAGAAGCCTGGAGCTGTAGCAGCCGTTTCGTACCATCCAGTAACAAGCTCATTAGGCAGAAAGTCACTGCTGAGAATGGTGCTGACGGGGACCCTGTTGGCTTTGCTGAGGGGCTGCGCCAGTTGGAGATGCCAGCCTCTCATCTTCCTGTGCTAGGACACCGAATAAATTTATGACCAATGCATGATTCAATTTCAGGACATCTGTTAGCAAATTAAATGTTACATATACAAAAATCAATAGCTTTTCTCCACTCTAGATATAAACTCCTAGAAATACAGGAAATAGTCCAATTACAATAGTAAAAATTATGACATTTAGACACTAATTTAATGAAAAGTCACCGGGCCTATGTGAAAAACAATTACAAAGCCCTGGCTGGCATAGCTCAGTGGATTGAGTGCGGGCTGCGAACCAAAGTGTCGCAGGTTTGATTCCCGGTCAGGGCACATGCCTGGGTTGCAGGCCACGGCCCCCAGCAACCGCACATTGATGTTTCTCTCTCTTTCTCCCTCCCTTCCCTCTCTAAAAGAATAAATAAATAAAATCATTGAAAAAAATTAAAAAAAAGAAAGCCATCTTTCCTATTTAAAAAAAACAACAATTATAAGATCTAATTGAGCCCTGACTGGTGCGGCTCAGTGGGCTGGGCATCGTCCTACAAACCAAAAGGTCCCCTGTTTGATTCCCGGCCAGGGCACGTGCCTCGGTTGTGGGCGGTCCCTGGTTGGGAGCGTGCGAGAGGCAACTGTTTAATATTTCTCTCTCGTCGATGTTTCTCTCTCTCCCTCCCTGTCTCTCAAAAAAAATTAAATCTTTAAAAAACTAATCGAAAGAGTCAACAGCATCTTCCACTTCCAACCCAGATGGAGTGCCAAGGAATGGACTTACCTTGCCGACTGAAACCCGTAACAAAAGACAGCGAATATGAAATGAGTTCTCAAGGTACCGGAAGTCAGGCGAGGGAGGCCAGTGATCCGGAAGACGAAACAGACAAGCAGATCCCGGATCTCCCCAGCTGACCGCCTTCGGAGAACTCCCAGGCCGCGCGCGCGCGCGGAGGGAGAACCCAGGTGGTTCCCTTGGTTGAGCAGATGGAACTGCAAGTCTGGGGAGACCACAGCGGCGAGAGCTCGGGGTGCAGAGTGCTGGAGAGGAGAGAGCTGTACACAGAACTGCGGCCGGCAGCAGAGGGTCTCTTCAAGTACCAGGCAGAGTCCTGACCAGCGCAGGTGCGAGGGACGACCTGAGGTCAAGGGCAGAACCACCTGAAAGGATTAGGGGGATGGTACTTGGCCAGGACTAGTGTTCTTCCACCAACCTCAGTATTAGAGAATAACTATCTTTAGAGTAAATACTTTGGGTCTTGCCTAAAAATCTCAGATGACTTGAAAAACTGTTTCTAAGTAATTTAACTACATCCTAGAACAAAGATCAAGAATCGTTACTTAAAAACTCTATAACAATGCAATACCCAGCAACATCAAATTCACAATGTCAGCGTCTAATTAGAGAGAAATAGGTGCTCTGGCTTGTGTGCCTCATGCATCAAGTGGCAGCCTGTGAACCCAAAGGTTACGGTTTGATCCCCAGGCACACGGCATGTGCCTGGGCTGCCAGCCAGGTCCCCAGTTGCAGGTGTACGAGAGGCAACTGATCCATGTATCTCTCCCACATTGATGTTCCTCTCCCTCTCTTTCTCCTTCCCCCTCTCTCTAAAAATAAATAAAATCTTAAAAAAAATAGGGCTCAGAATGAGAAGAAAAATTAAACTTACCAAGAACTGACACAATTTTTCAGAATAAGACAAAGAAATCAAAACAGTGTAACTGTACTCCATGTGATCAAGAAGTTAAGAGGTGACATGAAGATGCAAAAGAGACCCCCCACTGAACTGGTGAACCTGAAAACACCCCGGTGGGCTAACCCTGGTGGCGCGGTGGCTCTGCTCGCCCCCCCGACGCAGCAGTCCTAACTGGGTTAAGCTCCGGCCCCTGCCCATCAGGGCAGGGCTGCCTCTCCACGGGCCTTTTTCTCCAAAGCTGTGACATCTTAGTGGGGACAGCCACCTCGTTGGCTCATTTATTGCAAAGGCCATCGCAGAGAAGTGGGGCTTAATTGTTATCTGACTCAACTGTGTTCTCTCACTTGGGAGGCCCAGCTGAATGGTTTTTGGCCAGGTGGAGGTACTGACTGTAGCAAAATGATCTCTAATAGTTGTAATTGATTGCAGTGTGGCAGTGTTCCAAGCTGGCTCTGGAGTGAGCTTGTCCCCACTGGTGTCCTCTTAAGGCCTTAGTAAAATGGGGGCAATAACAGCACTAACCTCACAGGATTGTTATTTGTGTTAAATGGATCATCCGCGTGAAGCACCTAGCGAGGTGGGCTGTGCGGAGTAAATGCCCGTGAGTGCTGGCAGTTCCTGTATCATTATCACATTTTCCGATAAGACTCTTGCTCTCTCCTTTCTCAGGGCACAAAGCACTGTGCAGAAGCCAGTGAAAGCTTGGACTAAGGTGCCAAACAGCCTGGATTCGAATGTCAGTTCTTCCGTTTGCCAGGCAAAAGATCTGGGGCAGGTCACCTGTATTAGTCTGCCGGGGCTGCCATAACAAAATACCACGGATGGGGTGGCTTAAAGGACAGAAATTTATTCTTTTACAGCCCTGAAGGCTGGAAGTCCAAGGTCAAGGGCCCAGCAGGGCTGGTTTATGGTGAGAGCTTTCTCCTTGGCTTGTAGATGGCCACTGTGTCCTCTCACTGTGTCCTTCTTACTGTGTCCTCAAAGGCCTTTTCTCCCTGTTCACCCAATCGTGGCGTTGCCTCCTTTTTTTTTTTTTTAAATAAGGACATCAGTCCTATTGAATCAGGGCCTACCCTTATGACCTCACCTAACCTCAATGACTTCTTTAAAGGCCCTGTCTCCAAAATGCAGTCACTTGGGGGTTAGGGACTCCACGTATGAATTTGGGGAGGACCCTATCTGGCCCAGAGCATCACCCGCCCACTTCGTGTTTCCGTCTGACCAGTTATAGAGTGTGAATAGTACCTACCTCGCAGGGTTGTTGGGAGGGTTAGTGGGTGATGTGCTTAGACCAGTGCCTGGTTCGTAGTGGGTTTATGAGTTAGAGCAGCAATAGGAACATAAATGTTATCCTCATGGGCGTTTCTGCTACTCAACCTGCTCTCCTTCCTCACCTGCAAAGCAAGATAATGCCACATTGTTGAACATTCAGAAAGCTCCAAAGTCTCCGAGGGAGGTAGGATTTTCACATGATTTACTCCCTGCCCACCCCCCATCTTGGCTTTTTTATTTTATTATTTTTTTAGAGAGTAAAGTTCTTATTTACTTTCCAAGAAAGGAGAGAGGCATGGTGTGGAGAGATACACCAGCCGGCTATTTTTATTTTTTAAATAAGACCAGCAAAGACTCCTTTTTCTGCCAGTCTGGAGCTTGGGAGAGGTAGGAAACCAGGAGCTTGGAAGCACCCCCGCCCCGC